GGACCTTTCACCACTTCAGGACCATTCAGGTCTGAAAATCCTGAATGGTCCTGAAGTGGTGAAAGCTCCGAAGACCCTGAAAACCACCTGTTTAGGCAAGCTGCATCCTCAAGTGGTGAAGGGTGTTTTTCATGGTCTTCGGACCTTTCACCACTTCACGACCATTCAGGATTTTCAGACTGCCCAAAACTTTCACATGACCACTTCAGGACACCCTTCACCACTTCAGGATGCAGCCTGCCTAAACAGGTGGTTTTCAGGGTCTTCGGACCTTTCACCACTTCAGAACCATTCAGGATTTTCAGACTGCCCAAAACGCTCACTTCAGAATTTTCATTCCTGAATTTTCAGCTACCCGATAACCGCTTGTGTTGGCAAGGGTTTCGTCGGCAGGAGAAGGGTAGTCACTAGACTTGTAGTAAGGAGGGAGCAGGCCAGCTATCTCTGGTGTAGATTCGAATTCAGGTCCGTGTTTCAGCAGTTATGGGTTACTGACTAACTAACTCGGGTTAGGGCTTCACTCGACTACTCACGAAATGTGCAAAACTAGAATGAACCATAAAAGCCATATGCTTTTCTTTTCTGATGAGTGGAGCAAGGCACTGCACATAAGAAAAGGAAAACCAGAAAAACGAGACAACTATTGTAGTGTTTGTAGTACTTTCGTAACCCATAACTCCTGGAACACAGACCTGAATCCGAATCCAGGATATATTGCTGGCCTGCTCGTGGTCTGTGAGCATTTCAATGAACATCCTTCCAAAAGGATGGCAACCCTGCTGATTCTTTGCAGGGGACCTTTTGGAAAAGAGAATATATCCAATGAGAAGTACGAAGTGGCCCCAAAATATTTTCTTTCTGTGCACTTACAATTTTCAAAAGGGAGGGACACTTATTGTTCACCCCATGACATAACACAATAATAGCACCAAACGAGACAGCCAACGGACTCAAGGCAGACTCACATTTCTGGGTGGGAGACATATCAATGTACTGGTACATGCTCAAGCCACCGTAAGGAGAAGCCCTTGCATTTATCCAGGTCAAGCACGTTGGATAAATCAAAAAAGTATGAGGTAGTCAAAAGCCTTATAAAACACAACCAGCTTACCATAAGCGTGACCTGCTAGTAAAGGTCTGATGTGTGTGTGTGTGTGTGTGTGTGTGTGTGTGTGTGTGTGTGTGTGTGTGTGTGTGTATGTCTTGCTCTCTCCCTCTCAAACACACACACACACACAAACACACACAAGGGGAAAAAAAAAAAAAAAGGTCAGAGGAAGACACTGCAGTCAGATAAGCAAAAGCAACGTCAACTTACCTGCTCAAGCATTGTGAGCAGCTCAGATGCTGCCGCTCTGAACTTTCGTGCCAGCTGCGCTGTTTCATCGGACTCATTTGGTAGTCTATCCTGCGGTATTCCTTCACAAAGTTCACATTGACCCAGACAATGAGCAAAAACAAGCATCGTCAATCCCAACATACAAAAAAGTTACACTATCAACCCTCCCTCCCTCTCTCCCTTTCTCTCTCCCTCCCTCCCTCTCTCTCTCTCTCTCTCTCTCTCTCTCTCTCTCTCTCTCTCTCTCTCTGGAGGTGATCAATTGGCACAAATGCAGTCCCACTTCAGCAGTGGCTAGAGGATGGAAGAAGATGGGAAGTTGGACTCCCATGATTGCATCGCTTGGCCCATTCTCAGGAAGCCAAATGGTGCTGTTCAAAACCAATTGTGCTATCGTGCTCCGCATTGCCGTTTGGGCCACAAGCCCTTTCAAGAGCAGCAATGTGTCAGCCATGAGCAAGAAAAACACACCATGGACGATCTGGAAAGACGTACAGAAAGACCACTTAGAAAAAGTAAGAGGCCACTGGGCAGAGGCCGAGTTCAAACTCTCACAAAGCAGCTTATGGAGCCAAGCTTAGGTGTACATGGAAGAACACAGACAGGGATAGGAACAAAGATGAACAAAGAAAACTTCCTGACAAATTCCCTCTCAGAGAAATGGCTCACAGCAAGAGGAATCGGGCTAATCGGGCAGAACCAGAACGCCTCGAAAGAATCGGTTCTGACTGTACCAGCCCAAAGGTTGAATTGCAAACACACGTAACGGGTGAATCAGGCAGAACCAGAACGCCTCAAAAGAATGTGTTAAGAAGTCATATATAGATTGTCCACAACAATCAACTAAAAAAACTCATTTCGTGAAACAAGCTTTGAAAATAGCAGACCGGGAGAAGCACGCTGAAACCCTTGCTTTGCCTTTTCCTGTGCTGTTTCTTTCATTTCTTTCGTCATTTTCGCTTTTTTGAAGTTTTTTGAACTTTTTTCACGATTTCTCATTTATTTCTTCTTTTGGCTCCTCCTTTTCACTGTGTATCTCACACACAAGGCTCGCCACGTTGAAGTAGTTGGCAGTAAGTTGCCAGCATCCCTGTGGCAGAGTAACGAGAGTGAGAGGAAAGATGGAAGGAAGACAAAGGAAACATAAGGAGTGTGCAATAGAGATAAGAGCAGAGGGAAGGATAAGCAAAGAGCCGGGAGTTACTGGGTAGTTCAGTAGCAGGCATTCCTGTCCTTGACAACGTGAGGACATGTACGGTAGGTATGAGATGGGAGACGGCATACAGATGAGCCTCCTGATGAGTCCGTGAAAATCCAACTTAACAGCTTGTCACAGACCTCCATTTCTTGCCCTTTTCTTCCGTTGCTTGACTACAATTACAGCCAGATTCAGTCCAGAAGTCCAGTGTGTGCGAGTATGCCCTCAGGAAACCAAACCTTACTTTGGAAGCTGGCAGCCGGCCCTCTCTGCAATTGAAAACCCTTCCCTCCAGGCTGCTGCAACACAACTGCATGCAGAAAGAGGGACCATGTCATGCAAAAAAGACAGTCAGAGACCGGCTTTGAAACCAAGGGAACAGATTTCCCTGTTTCTTCCCTTCTCATCTGTAAACCTCTCTCGATTCAGTCCTGAAGTCATTTCTGAATTACTGTCACTTTTGCTATTTGAAGTTTGAACAATTTTCCAATTTTCCGCCTGTTTTTAGATGTTTACTTATCTCAAGTTATTTAAACTTATTTTCTTTTTTTCTGTGGGCCGAGGTACCACAAAGCAGACATTAATAAGTTAATAGTATCTGATCAGAATAGATACTACACTTGATCCTAGCAAAAAGGCCAAGAAAGGAACGTTTTAAATTGTTTTTTTTGAAAATTTTTCTTATTTTCTCTTTCAGAGTCTTTCTTGAAAAAGTTTGAAATTGTGAATGCATTTTCTTGTTTTTGTGCCAAATTTGCAGCAACTGACCCTCCAGACCCACATCGGACAGATGTTACGTAACCCAATCCAAACCAGACAGATCTGACCCAACCAACTACCTGACGACCCAGATGTCCGGCTGCAGAAAATCATTGAAAAGCTTCCCTGTTCTTTTCACCGAGACATTGGAAACAGAACTGCAATCCAACAGTTGGCTGATGATCACATAAACATTCCTTACAAAATTCAATGGAAAAAGCAACCTTTTGGCGCATGGCGGTGCTGCCTTTTCCTTCTTTTCCATATCCTTCTTAGAAACCCTACATTAGAACTGCACCATCTGGCAGCGCGGTCAGTGAGTAAGCTGGAGATACGAGGGATTTAGGGGGGAGGAGGAAGAAGATCCAGGGAAGAAGAAGAAGAAGGGAGACAAAGGGAGACGAAGGGAGACGAAGGGAGACGAAGAAGAAGGAGGAGGAGAAGAAGAAGAAGAAGAAGAAGAAGAAGAAGAAGAAGAAGAAGAAGAAGAAGAAGAAGGAGGGAGAAGGAGGGAGAAGGAGGGAGGAGGAGGGAGGAGGGAGAAGGAGGGAGAAGGAGGGAGGAGGAAGAAGAAGGAAGAAGAAGGAAGAAGAAGGAGGAGGAAGAAGGAGAAGAAGAAGGAGAAGAAGAAGGAGAAGAAGGAGAAGAAGAAGGAGAAGGAGGAGAAGAAGGAGAAGAGGAGGAGGAAGAAGAAGAAGAAGAAGAAGAAGAAGAAGAAGAAGAAGAAGAAGGAAGAGGAAGGGGAGGAGGA